GGATTCTGGGGGGCTCAGGAGGATTTTTGGGCCCTCTCGGCCGCGTCCAGGGCGGCCACGCCCCGCAGGGCCCCGCCCAGCTGCAGAAGGTTCAGGAAGGATTTGAGGGCGGCCAGGGGGGCCAGGAGCCACAGGCCCAGCCGGGCCAGCCCGGGACCGCCCGGGAACGCTGCGGGAGAGAGGAAACCGGTCACAGCCGGATCGGGCCGGCCCGGACCAGAAAATCCGGGAAAAAACGGGAAAAAAATGGATTAAAACGGTAAAAATACGGCTAAAAACCAGTTAGAACCAGTTTGAAACCAGTTAAAACCTCCATAGAAACCAGTCAGAATCAGTACAAACCGGTCAGAACCGGATCGGACCGGTACGGACCGGCACAGACGAGAAAATCCGGGAAAAAACGGGAAAAAAACAGATTAAAATGGTAAAAATACGGTTAAAAACCAGTTAGAACCAGTTTGAAACCGGTTAAAACCTCCATAGAAGCCAGTCAGAATCAGTACAAACCAGTCAGAACCGGATCGGACCGGTACGGACGAGAAAATCCGGGAAAAATCAGGAAAAAAATGGATTAAAATGGTAAAAATACGGTTAAAAACCAGTTAGAACCAGTTTGATACCGGTTAAAACCTCCATAGAAGCCAGTCAGAATCAGTACAAACCGGTCAGAACCGGATCGGACCAGTACGGACGAGAAAATCCGGGAAAAAACGGGAAAAAAACGGATTAAAACAGTAAAAATACAGATTAAAAACCAGTTAGAACCAGTTTGAAACCGGTTAAAACCCCGGGAACGCTGTTGGGGAGAGAAGAAACCGGTCACAACCGGTACGGACCGGCACGGACGAGAAAATCCGGGAAAAAACGGGAAAAAAATGGATTAAAATGGTAAAAATACGGTTAAAAACCAGTTAGAACCAGTTTGAAACCGGTTAAAACTTCAATAAAAGCCAGTCAGAATCAGTACAAACCGGTCAGAACCGGTTCGGACCAGTACGGACCAGTACGGACTAGTACGAACGAAAATATCCAGGAAAAAACGGGAATAAAAACGGCTTAAACCAGTAAAAATCCGGTACAAACCAGCACAAACCAGTCTAGACCAGTATAAACCAGTATAAACCAATTTAAAACCAGTTATGAACCAGTTTAAAACCAGTTTTAAACCAGTTAAAACCAGTAAAACCCAGTAAAAACTGCTAAAAAATGGTAAAAAACTGTAAAAATTACTGAAACCCGGTTAAACGCAGTAAAACCAATTGAAACCAGTCCAGACCAGTACAAACCAGTCTAGACCAGTATAAACCAGTATAAACCAATTTAAAACCAGTAATAAACCAGTTTAAAACCATTAAAAACCAGTAAAAACCACTAAAAAATGGTAAAAATTACTAAAACCTGGTAAAAACCAGTAAAACCAGTCCAGACCAGTATAAACCAGTCCTGACTAGTACAAACCAGTATAAACCAATTTAAAACCAGTTATAAACCAGTTAAAACCGGTTTTAAACCAATAAAAAATGCTAAAAACCAGTAAAAAACGGTAAAAATTACTAAAACCCGGTAAAACCCAGTAAGACCAGTCCAGACCAGTCCAAACTGGTCCAGACCTGTACAAACCAGTCTAGACCAGTACAAACCGGTTATAAACCAGTTTAAAACCCGTCTAAAACCATTAAAAACCAATAAAAACCTCTAAAAGCCGCTAAAAAACGGAAATAATTACTAAAACCTGGTAAAACCCGGTAAAACCAGTGCAGACCAGTACAAACCAGTCCAAACCAGTATAAACCAATTTAAAACCGGTTATAAACCAGTTTAAAACCGGTTTTAAACCAATAAAAACTGGTAAAAATTGCTAAAAAACGCTAAAAAACGGAAATAATGACTAAAACCCGGTAAAAACCGGTAAAACCCGGTAAAACCAGTCCAAAGCAGTCCAGACCAGTATAAACCAGTATAAACCAGTGGGACTCACCTGCGGGCCCCTCCCCCCAGTGCAGCAGGTAGAGGCAGCAGTGGAATCCCTCATTGCCGGCGCAGAGCGCGAAGAGCAGCGGCTGGGGAGGGAAGGGTTAAAGGAAAGGGGCGGGG